AACTTTTTATAACCTATCTATAGGGCAGGGCAAACTTCCAATTACTGAACATCTGCTCTTATTTCATCATCCTGTGAATGGCTTCCCTCGTCTCTGAAGCACCAAGGCAACTCCCCTCATCCCTGGCTCAGGATGCCACATAGATCCAGCTCATTTTAACTTTCTGTCTCTGACTCTCTCCCGTATGGGGTCCCTGTATGTACATATGTAATTGAATTGGTTTTTTCCCCTCTTGTTAACCTGTCTCACATCTATTAGACTAGACCAGCCGAAAGGACCTAGAAGCGTAGAGGAGTTTCTTCCTCCCCCCAGACTGTCCAGTGCATGCTGCTCTGTAATGTCAGACAAAGCCACACCGCCACTGTAAAAGGCTGTGTTGTGTTTCACTGTATATCCTGTCCAAAATTTACCTAACTAATCCCTTACTGATGGACATGGAGGTAGTTCCTAAGCTTGTGACATTATAAACAATCCTGCTTATGATGAATATCCTTATGCAAACATCTTTTCACAATTGAGCAGTTTACATTTTGATACACATTGCTAAAGATCTTTCCAGAAAGCTTGTCAAGTTATATTCCCACCAAAAGAACATAAAGTTCTCCATTTCCCCACATATTTGCCAACCTAATGGACAAAAAGAAGCGCACGTTTCTTTTGCTTTGATAATTAATGTAGTTAACATCATTTATACACCTACTGGACATTCCTATATTCCCTTCTGTGATATGCCTCTCATGTCTCCTGCCCAGATTTCTCCTGTGGTACTCATATTTTTATATTTTGGATATCAACACTTTGAATTGTTCACAGCGGCTACTTTTCTCCAGACCAAACTCTTAAATATACCTTTTCTTTCCACTCCCTTGACCCAAAGGCCTTCATCTTTCTGCACCAAAGAGCCTGCTAACTGGTTCACCCCCAGGGCCCTCCCTCTCTGTCTATCCTCCTGGGGTTGCCTGAGTTCTTTTCAATATGCCAATCAAAATACGCCTCCTCTCTGCTCAAGTATCTCCCCCGATCCCACCTCACCGCAAGTCTGCCCCCGTGTCAGCGATCTCACTCTAGCTGCCGACCATGGAACCCCTCACTGCAGCCTTCGGATGCTCGCTTCTCCCATCCTCAAGCTCCACACACCCTGCTCCTATCTGGGAACACCTCTTCCCACTTCCTTTGCCCATCCAGCACTTGGTCTGTCTTCAAGATCCAGGTCTTTCCTCTGGGATGCTGCCCCAGATCTTCTCAGGAAGAGTGAATCATTTCTATCACTGTGTTCACATCTCTACTAGGGCCTGCCTCATGCTGAGAGCCTTACAAGATCACACATAGATTCTGTGAGGGTGCTACAATGAGGGGGCCCCAGATCTAAGATGGGAACAAGCAACACTAATAGACGCCCTGGACATACATGACTGAGATTTAAGAAGCTTTAAATCCATTCCAACAAAATGAGGCTGTGAATGAAAGCTGGAACTTAACTGGATGATGTGTTTCTAGGCAGGGCATCTATACGTGGGTGGGAGCCCATTAGGCAGAATCATGTTTATCTAACATCATGCAAGGGACAGGGATACTGGAGGGCTGTAACTGTACCACGGGGTCTGACTTCACTCACCAGGTTTTCCCATGGCCTGGGCTAATTCCCTGAACTTGCCCCTGGCTCATCAAGCAATCTTCTGACTTGGTTTCCAAGTACACGGATATCAGGAAGGTTGGTACTGTGGGCAACAGAAAGGTCTAGTCTCTTTTTTAAGTTAATATATAAACTGGTTTATCAGTCCCCTGATTATCTTGGCTTGCCCAGTTCCTGAAAGCCTGACTAGCTCCAGGTAGAGGGACAAGGTCTGAGTACAAGAGCCTGAGCTGTGGCAACCTCATGGGTACTGCATACCTGCGTGGTGCCTGGCTCATTTCAAAATGCATCCACCTCCCTCACTGAAGGTGTTCTCTTAGGAAAAAAGCATTTATTTATCTTCGACTTCTTGGGTCTGGCACAGGCCATCTCACCCAGGGAGTCTTGCGCTTCAGGAGCCAAGAGATAACAGTTTTCCAACTGAGTGCTCCCTGCCCTGCCCTGGCGGCATGACCTGCCAGCTATGGTCTGTTCTCACCGCCACTGCAGAGGTGAGTGCCAGCTCCGCCAGGCAGTCTCCCCTTAAACTTCCCCATCTGCCCAGGGAGCAGGGAAGTGGCATGTGAAGTCTTTCAACAACACTGTGCATATTTTCTGTGCTACAAGCAGGGGGCTCATAATCCCTGTCCTCAAAGAGCCCAAATTTTTTATGGGTTTGTTTTTTTTTTTATTGTGCTCTTTGGAAGGAAGTTATTCATAGCCCACATTTACAGAGTGAGGAGTTATGCTCTACCTCCATGAAGGCAGAATATCTTTTTTTTTTTTTTTGGCCTTGTTTTATTTTATTTTTCTCAGTTTTTGCCATTAAGTTTTTTTTATTTTACATTTTTTAACTGTATATTTTCCAGGTGGGTTTGATTTCTTATTTGTAAGTCATAACAAACCACTTTACAGAGGCCTTTTTGTCTCCTTTCCTACTCGCCATACATCTTTCCACTTTCCTCTTCTGATTCTTTTCAAAGTAGAGGGTAGAGAAGAGGTTGCTAGGATTATGGAGAAAGGACTTCTGTTCCTTTTTATCCCTATTTCAAGGTGATGTCTCAAAAAGACCAGAAGCCTCACTAACACCTTATACTCAGGAGACAAAACCAAGCTGAAATGTTTCATCTCTGGCGCTCCTCAACATAGCCAAGGTCTTCTCCTCGCAGCTTCCCACGCTATTTACAGGCAGGTGTGTAAGCATGTAAATTTATCTCTCTGCTAGCATGTCTCCCCTGAACTCCAAACTCTAACAACTATCCAGCTACCTCCATCACATCTGCACTTGGGTTTCAAATAGACATCTCAGAGCCCACATGTCCAAAATCTAACTCTTGATTTGTTCGTCCCACAGTCTTCCCATTTTTCGTCCTTCCAGCTGCTTCTGCCTCTCTTTTCTCTCAACCCCCACAGCCAGTCATGAGCAAATCACACTGACTCCTGCTTCAAGACATACCCAGAACTGGACCACTTCGCCACCACTTCCGCTGCTGCCACACTGCTAAGAACCTGATAACTGGAGCAGCCTCCTATGGGTCGCTCCACCCTCCTAATGGGTGCCTCCACCCCTGCCTTACGGCGCCCCACATGGTAGCTGGGGTGATCCTGCTAAAACACTTAGTCACAACACATCAATCCTCTTGTTAAAGTCATCTCACTCAAAATAAAATCCAAAGTCTTTGCTGTGGCCATCAAAGTTCTTAAGCACGAGTGCACACTGGGATCACCTAAAAAAACTTTTAAAAATGCCAATTTCAATTCCAAGGCCCTACCTCAGGTTAGTTCAATCAGAATCTCTGGGGTGGGATCAAATCTTTCTTTTTTTTTTTTTTAAAGATTTACTTACTTTTACAGAGAGGAAAAAGGAGAGAGAAAGAGAAATATCAATGTGTGAGAGATACACCCATTGGTTGGGTCTTGCAGGCCCCCAACTGGGGACCTGGCCCACAACGCAGATATGTGCCTTGACCAGGAATCAAACCAGTGATGTTTTGGTTCCCAGGCAAGCCCTCAATCCACTGAACCACAGGAGCCAGGGCCAAACCTTTTCTTTTTTTAAAGCTTATCAGGTGACTGAAATATACAGGTAGGCTGAAAACCCCCGCCCTACGTGAACCCCGGTTGGCTCTGATGGTACCTACCCCATTCCTTCTTACTCCCAACCTCCTGGCTCTGCCTCAGGCACCCTGCCTCCTGGCATCTCTCCAGCATGTCTGAAACTCTCCCGTGTCAGGGTTTTGTACCTGTCATTCCGTCTGCCAGGGACACTCATCTCCTGGATAGCCACAACGGCTTGTTCACTCCCCACATTCAGATCTCCTTTATAGGTGTCACCTCGTCAGCGATGCCTTCCCAGTTAAGTCCCCACATAAAAGGGCAGCTCCCTTTCTGTACTTTGTCCCCTTAGCCTGTGTTTAGTTCTTCATTGCATTTACGCTCACCTTACATGTTACAGTTGTTCTTTGTCTCCCCTGTTCAGATGTTAGCCCCTCAAGAGCAGGGGCTCAGTCCACCTCATTCATCCCTGTATCCTCAGGACCAAGAACAGTGCCTGGTACTCAGCAACGGCTCAGTAAATATGTGTTAAGTGGATGCATTAAATTTCATAGAACTTATTAACAATAATGTCTGTAGAAAAATTGTATAGAGATTCATTTTCATTAAACTCATACCCTGTAAGACATTTGCTTTAAGAAAGCAAATTACTTTAAGGAGAAAAACTTACATTAAAACAAAAATGTCCAAAGCAATATAAACCAACCTGATATATTATTTAATAGACAATTTAACGGAATTATTAAATAATTAACCTACATTAGAGTATTTTTCTTAGAAAAATGTAACAGGTTTATTTTTATGTGGTCCTACCCAAAGGTTTGAAAGGTCCACATTTTTACTTTTCTAATCTTAAGTGAAGGAATCTGACCTGCCCCATTTGATCCTGATTCCTCTTTATCTCTGAGGCTGATTTTTCTGGAGGTGACAATGCTTCAGTTGTAAGTAGTGGTTCTAGAAGAGAAAGTGGGAAAAAATCCTCTGCCTATGTTATCTTGGTATGTTTCATTTTCCTTCCTTTTCTGAAAAAAGTATCTTGATAATCTTGAATGCTGTAGTAAATTAAGAGTGAAACATGGAACCAGACTCAGATTTGTACTACTTTGTGTTAGCAGATAAATTTTCCGAGATGAAAGTGCTCAGTAAGTAATCTGTTTTGCTAATCTACAGAGACGTGATTTCCCTATAGATGCTGACAGCATTGTGCTTGGGCTTATACAATTATAAAATTCCCATCTAATTTACAATAAACAATCTGAGAAGACTCCGAGTACTTCATTCCTCACTCTCCAGAAACACCAAGTATACTAGAAAGGAAGAGATGGAGTTTTACCTGTGTGTGTTCGTAGGTGTTTCTTTAGCTGAGACACGTCCATGAATTTGCGATGGCAGTGGTTGCATTCCGGTAATGAGTGGCCTTGTCGCAACAATAAAAAAAGTGTCAGTGCGTCTCTCCGCCATCATGGAGCCTGGGGGGCCTGCTGGGAACAGGACTTCTATAACCACCAGTATGTTGGGAAGGCTGTGGTTCAAGGCCATTCCTGCTGGCTCTAAGTGGGGTCTCCGGAACCAGAGGGAGCACACAGCTCTTCTTAAAACTGAAGGTGTTTATGCTCAAGATGAAACAACTCTGTCTGGGCAAGAGACATGCTTATGTGTACAAACCAGAGAACACCATGGTGATGCCTGGTGGCAAACCGAACAAAACCAGAGCCATCTGGGAAAGGCAGCTCCACAGTGGCGTGGTTCGTGCCAAATCCCCAAGCAGCGTTCCTGCGGAGGCCACTGGGCACAGAACCCATGTAATGCCGCACCCCTCATAAATGTGAACTTATTGGAGTAAATAAATAAAAGTGGATTTGTTTTCTTAGGAAAAAAAAGTGTTAGTGTATATATGCTCTCCCTAAATTTCTTCAGTGATTTGTTTTACAGCACCTTCCTGAAAAATAATCACTTTAAATATGGTATTTTAATATGGTATTTAATAAATGGTATTTTTAAATTAATTGGGATAACAGTTGCCATTTTCCTATGCATCTCCATTTACTGCTTCCCAGGAAAGCTGGGACCCTTCCAACTGCTTAAATATATTCTTTTTCCTTTGAAGCACTGGTACGACTGTGGCCAGTTAACCTCAAATGACATTGCCAACCCCCATTCATTTCATATCAGTTGTAAGGAAAGAAAAAAATGGCTAGTGGGTGGAACCAGGTTGGAGAAAGCCTGGACTGACAGCTACTGGACGGTGACATCTCTCTCCGGGCACCATTACCAACCAATCCACCGGCACCTTGTAGTTAGGTGGCACTTTTGAGAAACATCAATTCTGCAGGGTTTTTGTGCATGGTAGCAAAAGTGTAGCATAAAAATTAAATATAAATCACAAGGTAGTGAGAATAACATAAGAACATCCAATTTAGATGGCTTTTTAAGACTTCTTCCTAAATACTCATTTATCTTCTACAATATAAACCTAATGTTTCAGAAATAATTTGTATTTGCATTTCTCCCCCACCAATCCAAATTTCCTCTCATTTTATTGTACCTGTATGAACTCGGTAATGGCTCTTTAGCTGTCTTTTCTGGCTGAAATATTTTCCACACTGATCACAGGTAAAAGACTTCTGTCCTGCCAAATAAAAAACAAAACACTAAAGCATGCAAAATACTATGAAGAACAAGGATGCTCACAGTAGGTCCTGGTCCTCATTTGCTAAAATGATACAAGTGACTTGTCTACTAACCCAAATGCCTTCACAGTCTACCATAGTAACATAAATGTGCAAAGGCATGTAGGGCAATAGGGAGTGGTGGAGACTGTGGCAGACCTGGTGAATTCAAGTTTCCGCTAAAGGCATCCAATGTGAAGTAATTCTACGTTCCAGTGGTTAAACAGAACATGTTTGCACATTGAACTTCTGGCAGCCAGTTTATAAGCAGCCCTAATTTAAGGCTTGATGCCGTGCAGAACTCTAAACTACACTCTGACAGATGCATAACTCTGTCTTTCAATGACACCATGTGGGAAAGGACCTCAGGCTGAGAAGACTATTTAGATCATGGTAATGCCCACCCTGGGAATGGGAACCTGGTGGTAGCTGGCCCTCTGGTCCAAGCCCGGCTACCTGAGTGCAGGCTCATGTGCTCCAGCAGTGAGTGCTTGGTGGTGAGAGCCTTGCTGCACACGGTGCAGGCGTACGGCCGCTCGCCTGTGTGTATCCGGGTGTGGACCTGCAGGGAGTGCTTCTGGGTAAAGCCTTTTCCACATTCATTACATTTGAAAGGTCGCTCCCCTGGAATAAGAGCCCCAGAAAATTGGTATAAGCAAGAATCTGCACATCTTTCTGTCCACTTGCTAATTAAAATGACAATAAAGGGATCTCTCTTAGAAAACACATATCTAAAAGGCCAATAAACAGGGGAAACCAATATCAGCAATACATTTTGGCAAACTGGAACAGATGAATCTAATACCAGCAGTGAGAAAGGCTGAGATACTACCTAATTTTTAAGACAGAGCCTCCATAAGACTCAGGAATTGGTGGCACGTCATCTCTGAAAATGGGGGTAATGACGATAAATGACAGTCTGTTTCAAAGGTAGTTAGACCCCTCAGATCCAGTCTCCTACTCCATGGAGCTGGAAGACTGGCCTCTCCCTAAAAGAAGATGGAGGTTCTCTGTAGAGGGTAAAACAAAGGGCCTCTAGACCAGGAGGTCTTGGATTAGAGGCCTCCCAATACAGTGGAGTGGGATGACCACAGGGAGAATAGGTCCAAGTTTCCATCTGGGATGCTGACACTCCCCTTAGCCTTCTTCTCCCTCCTGCTTGTACACACTGGCAGTGAGGAGGCTATAGGTTCCAGGTGGGAGAGTGGAGTCTTTGCCTAGAACGTGGAGAGCTAGAGATAAGAAAGCAGCAGCAAGGAGGTGGGGGCCAGCCATGCCACCCCCAGCGAGGCTGTTGTCTACAAGCCCTCTCCATTCCCGCAGAGTTGCGAGTAGCTTTGAAGAAACCATTCTTACAAGATTATGATTTTTTAAAAAATGTTTTAATCATTTAGCTGAAAGCAAAGCAAAGTGATTAAAAATTTTTTGTAATCCTCACACGAGGATATTGTATTATTGATTTTTTAGAGAGGAAGGCGAGAGAGGGAGGGAGAGTGAGAGAGAAAGAGACAGACAGACACTGATGTGAGAAAGAAACAGCAATCGGTTGTTTCCTAGGTACGTGCCCTGACTGGGAATCAAGCCACAAGCTTTGGGTGTATGGGACAACGCTCCAATGAACTGTGCCACCCAACCAGGGTAAGATTATAATTAAAAAAAAAAAAAAAAATCATCATTCAAGGAAGGCCTCCAGTAGTTGAAACGGATGCCAAAACAGAAGAAAAAAGGCAACTTGCAGAAAACAGAAACTGCCTAAGGTGAAGAAAACGTTAAAACCTAACAAGTAAACGTTATTATTAACATGCTCACAGAGCTAAGATATTACATTGCAAAACAAACAAAAAAAGGATCCTAGTAAAAAAAAAAATTTTTAATTAGAGAAAAAAAAAGAGGACCTAGAGGTGAAAAAATGAGTAGAAATAGAAAAACTGTAAGGACTGAGAGGGTAAGCGGAAATCTCCCAGGTTGAAAATAGGAGAGAAAAGATAAGGAAGTTGGAAGATGGGTCCAAGAGATTAAAAAATGAAATAACAGGAGTTTCAGAAAGACAGCAGAGAAAACAGAGGAGAGAAATCATCTATGAAATAGTTTCAGGAAACTTTCTGGAAAGATAGGAGTTTCCAGAGAGACTCACTCTAGTGATTCGTTGGAAACTTTCAGGATACCAGGACAAAAGGGAAGATCTTACGGACTATTTTCCTTAAACAACCTTGTAGAACTATTTTAACTCTTTACACTATGCTGTGTTACAGTTCAACAAGTATTTCTCAAGTGTCTACCTTGTTTAAAGAACCAGAAATCAGGGTTCTCATCTATCTTAAAAACACCAAGGCTCCAGACAAATCAGAACCTCTGGGGTGGGGACCCAGGCACTGCTAGTTTTAGAAGTTCCCTAGGTGGCTGGTTCTAAAGTGCAGCCAGGTTCAAAACCACAATGCTAGGCGCTGCTGGATCAGAGAACAGCAAGCCACAGGATGATAGAAGACTTAAACACCAGTCCCCCTATACATAAGCTTACAATTAAGTTGAGAGGTATTTAAATGGTAACTACAACTGAACCCAAAGCAAAGTGAGTTAGTGTATGTATGAGAGGGGGTTCAAAGGAACGTTCTGCCAGTGTCCAATATGGTAGCCACTTAATGAACTTAAAATAAAAAAGTTTAGTTCCTCAGTCACACTTGTCACATATCAAGTGCTCAAAATCCACATGTGGCTGGTGGTCACCACATTGGACAGCCTGTATCTGACGATATTACCATCATCAGAGAAGGGTTTCTCAGCCAGCACGGGGCTAGAGGGACCAAAAAGACATTTATAGCTAGATGGCTGAGGGAGAAAGCTGTCCATACAGGCCAAAAGCATAGCTATGGTCAAGATGAGGAAGGTTCAAGAGTCAGAAAGCAGGTAAATTTAGCTAGAGCTAGATACCTGGACATTATAGCCTTGAACCAACAACTACAAATAAGAGAGGCTCAGAATTCAGGCTACCTGGGTTCAAATTTAAGCTTGCTAGGACTTGGTCTCTTCATCTGTATAATGGGAATAATATAACCTATCTCACAGGGCTGTTGTGAGAACTAAATGCAGTGACAATTATAAAGGCTTTATTACAATGCCCATGACTTGGAAGTTGCACAATAAATGAAATCTATTATTATCACTACCACTTCAAAAACACATTCCAGTAAGCTGTGAAAGTGTAATTTACCCGTGTGGCTCCGCTGGTGGATTGCTAAAAAGTGATTGTACTTGAAGACTTTGCCACAATCTTTACAACGGGCTTCAGGGCCAATGGGACGCTTTCTCCTACCACAGACCCTCTTGGCTGAACCCTCGTCTTCTTCATCCCCAACAAGTTTGTAATCTTTAAGTTTGATGGATCTCTGAATCCTCCGCTTGCTGTACCGAGTCTGGTGGTCTTGTCCGTCCTGCGTCTTAGGATCACAGTTCTCATCTTTTTCAGTGGGCGTTCCCTCCCCTTTGCCAGGCTCACATGCAGGCTCAGATTCTTCCATTTCTTTTGCTGCAGCCTGTTCATTCAGTATACCACTGTCTACCTCTTTAACCACAAAGTTCTGTCTGTTCTGAACTGAATTGTTCACTCTCAGCTGTATTTCTTCCTCTGCAGCCAGTTCTGATTTTCCCTCCTGCAAACTGTTGACTTTTCTTGGCCTCCCCCGTTTCCGCTTCGGTGGATCATTTTTCTTATTAGAAACAACCACCACTGGAGCACCAGGTGTGTTCAAAGTCGTGGGCTTAGGGGAGCTATGGTTATTTTGAAAGTCTGTGTATGCCTTTACCAGGTCATAGACTTTTAAGAACTGAGCAGTAGCCAGGATTTGTTCTGTACTTTTCTCACTAGCCTGGAGACAACCTGTGTAGATAAACTCCAGCAGGATACCAAATGTGTCAGCAACCATGCCTTCCAGCATATAAATGGACTGCCCAATCTCCCCCTCTTCAGCAAACATCATGGAGAAATATTCACTACTGGCAGCAAGTAAGGCTTTGTGGGCCCGAAAATGCACATTCTCCACTATTAACGTAATGTCACAGAGAAAGCCTTTCTTCCTCTGGTCCTCGAAACTGGCCAGGACAGTGTTACTGTGAGTGTCTGAGTGTACAACAAGCTGCCCAGAAGGCTCTGATGATGTTTCTGCCATTTTTTCTAGAAGACAAGAAAAATTAAGCCTGAAATGAGAAAACAATGTTTAAAAAGGAGTAAGCACTAATGAGGTTAATCCCAGACCAGATGAACCACTACTTCCTTCACACTGTTAACAGAAATTTATCATTTACCACTTTTAAAGGCCTATTTAGAAATGGCTCTGGCTGGAGTGGCCCAGTGATTGAGCGCCAACCTGTGAACCAAAGGGTCCAGGGTTCGATTCCCAGTCAGGGCACATGCCTGGGTCCCAGTGTGGGGCATGCAAGAGGCAACCACACAATGATGTTTCTCTTCCTCTCTTTCTCCCTCCTTTCCTCTCCCTAAAAATAAATAAAGTCTTTTAAAAAAAGAAACTTAGCTTTGCGTTCTCTTTCCTGTTGTACCATTATCTACCTGGGTGAGTTTCCAACATCCATGCTACCTCTCAGGGTCTGTTTTCTCCTTTGCAAAACGAAAGAACCGGGATCAACCACCCCTAAAACTCATTACCAGCATTCACTTTCCATAGTTGCACAAATAACAGAATGAGAACTACGGTGTCTCGATTTCACACACTATTAGCCATTTTGTTCTGCGAAAACAAATATGAAAAGGGCGAAGAAAATGTACATGTGCTATGTGAATTTTGGGGGTAGCTGTAATTAAATAATAATAACGTAAGGCGCAAGGGGCCTCGCTTTAAAAGGGCGGCGTGGAACGCCCAAGGCTGGCGCCAGACAGCGCTCTGCGAAGAGGGGCGGCGGGTTGACGATTTCCGGAGGCCCGGGACGTTGAGCTGGGAGCCGGGCGCGGGAGAGGCCCCCACCTCCGGGCTCGAGCCCCTTGAGGAGGGGTCGAGGTGGCTGCGGGTCCCGCACCCACGGACGGTAGGTCCGGGGCGGACGTACCTCTCGGGGATTCCGACGAGGTGTGGATCGCGGCCAGCCCAGCCGGCGGCCTGGCGGGCGCACCCGCGCCAGGCCCTCCCTGCTCTCCAGCTCCGCAGGGCCTGCCGCTGAGGTTCCTGCACCTCCCGTGCTTCTGCTCCACCGCCGCCTCCGGTGCTGCCAACCCGGAAGCACCGGCGCCCGGAGCCGCCGGCGCGCGGACGCCAGACCACGTGGCCCGCGGAGACGCCCCCCAGGGGGGCGCGGCCTGGCGGGACGGGGCGGGGCGTGAGGTCCCCCGCGGGGCGTGAGGTCCCCCGCGGCGCCGCTTGGAGAGCCCAGGGACTAGGGATGGCAGTGAATTGGGAAGAGGTGAACAGGAATTATGTTGTCACTTTGCAATTGTGGAAGTTTTATATCTTGCCGGACCGTTAGCTCCTCACCCCAGTCGCCGAAGCTACCCCATTCCTCCTCCACTATTGTTATTTGCCTCCTCGATGTTTTACACATCTGCCCTTTTTTCCCCCACTTCCGATGCGTTAGTCCAAGTCGGTGAAGAGAGAGCTCCGTCTAGACAAACTGGTCTGGGTACTGAGTGATCTCGGGCAAGTTACTGATCTTCCAACTTTTTTTTCCCACCTTACCTATAAATCGGAGATATTAACACTAGTTAACACTAGGGTGGGTTGCTGTGGGGTAAACATTATGTAATGAGTTTAGTTAAGTGCCTGGTTTGATTTTTGACTACTATGATTAAAATTATCACTATTATTCTTCAGGCTTTCATAATCTTTCTTCAGTAGACTATTAAGGGTTCCTAAAAGTCTTAGTTGCAGTCTCGTTCCCTCCAGTACCCAGGAGTAGGGGATCTCTCTTTCAGCACAAATCACATCCAAAGACCAGAGTCACTCCCCTGCCTAGAACTCATCCTGGCTCCCAAGTACCCTCCTCATAAAGACCAAGTTTCTTGATATGGTCTACAAGCCCCACCCAAACGCGGTTGCCTACTACTTCTCTCTCCAACTATTGTAGCATTTTCTCTCTCAATTTATGCTTCACCAACACACAATTGCTTATCATTTATACAACCCTAGTAGACACTTCCAGATCCCCACCGTACACCATCTATGGCCTCCAAGATTTTCAAACCTGAGGCATAACTACCAGCCTGGCTCTTTTAAAATTTTATTAGTTTTTATTAAAATTAGACTTTTCTTTGAGGTTTCCCTCTTTCTCTGAAGTAGCTTCTAAACACTAGAGTTTGTGGGGTTCCAAGTGGGATGGCAGGCTCTGCCTGACTTCTGCACAGCAGCAGGAAGAGAAGTCAGTCCCAGGAATTGACTGCCACAAGAACTGAGGTAGAAACACTGGCCCTCCACAAAGTCTCAGTCCAACACCTGAAGATGACTCAGTGCAGAGTTAAACTAGGTATCCCTACTCCTTCATTCGGTCATTGCTCACTAGGGCACATGCTCTGCAAGGAAATACTGGGGCAGGAGGATCTTCCAGCATCAGTCACTCACAGTAGAAACCAGCCCTTTCTTCACGGCAATTTTGTTTAGAATCCATATGATTTTTTTTTGAAATGTTTGTTGCTGTCGTTTTTGGTTGAGGCCAGCTGGCCTACCTTCAGCAGTCTTTATAACTAAATCTTGGAGAGAAGGTTTTAGGCTGCATATTTATCATTCATGCAACAAATATTTATTCCGTGCCTATTAAGTACCAGGCACTGTGTCAGGTACTAGGGATGGATATAGCAACTAATAAGGCCCTTGCCCTCATGAAGAATACATTCTTCTATGGGGAGAAAGGACAAAAATACAAGTAAACAAATAAATAATATAATACCAGAGAGTGTTAAGTTTTATAAGTAGCAATGATGGAGACTGACAGGAAGTGAAGTCAAGGTAGGGTTACAGTTGAGATCTAAATGGTATGAAGCCAGCTGTGTGAAGATCTAGAATAAGAATGTTCCAGGCAAGGGGGAAGCAAGCATAAAGGCTCTGAGGCTGGAAATGAGCTTGGTGCTTTTGAGGGACAGGAAGGCCTGTGTGGCTGGAACACAGTGAGTGAGGGAGAGAATGGCAGGAGATGGATTGGCGATAAGGTGGCCAGATTTTGCAAATAAAAACACAGGGCATCCAGTAAAATTTGAATTTCAGATAAACAATGTATAATATATAATGGAATATTCTTACACTAAAAAAAATCCATGTGATATCTGAAATTCAAACACAACTGAGCATCCTGTGTTTTATTGGGCAACCCTGATTGGAATGGATGCCTGATTTTGACAATATGGGAAATTAATTTTATGAAAAACCTTTCCACAACAAGATAGCTAGAAATGACAACAGAAAATACATAACTGAGCTTAAAGGAAAGAAAATCCCAGGTGCCAAAAAATAGAACTAAAATCAGAGTAGTAAGCTAACATTGAAGCCATGGAAATTCTAGGGGCATTTTATTAAACCAGGACCTAGAGGCTTAGGTTTAAATGAGTAACTTGGGACCAGTAGACCGCTAAGCCTTCATGTGTCTGAAGTAGCAGGAGTGGAAAAGTGAATCTTTCACAGAAGTCAGGTTCTGTGGAAGGGCTGCAATCTCCAGGAAAGGGTGGACAAGGGGGAAAAAAATCTTTCTGAGTTCAAGGAGAGATAGCAAGAAATCATGTCCTTCTTGGTGTTGGCTCTGGGTGAGAGGGAAAAGTCTCTGAAAATTTGTGACCTGTCAGAATTTTTTTTTTTTAAAAGCCCCCAGATCCTCCTAGAAATTAAAATGTAATCAATGAAATTTAAAAATCAGTGGATAGCATTTCAATAAAATCTACACATAACCACACACAAAACTCCATAGATAGGTTAAATAATTGAAAAAAGAATTTGTGATTTCGAAGATAGATCCGAAGAAATTGCCTAGAAAGCTAGTCTGAAATAAAGAGATGGAAAGTATGGAAGAAATGTTGAGGGACATGAAGGACAGAAAGAAACAATATTTAAAGTTAATGATGAGAATGTTCCAAAACTGATACAAAACAAATCTACAGATTTGGGAAGCATAACACACTCCAAGAATGCTAAACAAAAAAGAAATCTTCAGCTGGGTATATTGTAGTCAAACTGCATAGAACATCAAAGATAGAGAAATCTTAAAAGAATATAGAAAGAAAATAGTAATTACCTCTAAAGGAAAGCCAATTACACTTTACAGATAACTTCTTAACAGCAACAGTGGAAGTCAGAGTCTTTACTGGAATGGTATTTTCAAAATTTACCTATTTTTTTTCCCTTTTAAATATTATGTTCACAGAAAAATTGAGCAAAAGTAGAGTTCCCATATACCTTCTGCCCCTCACATGAACAGCCTCCTTCATTATCAGCCTTCAACATCAGAGAGGTACATTTACTGCAACTGATAAATCATTGACTGATAATACATTGACACATCATCACCCAAAGTCCATAGTTTACATTAGAGTTCACTCTTCGTGCCATGCATTTTATGGATTTGGACAAAAGTATAATGACATGTATGTACCATTATAGTATCACACAGAATTATTCCACTTCCCTAAGAATCCTCTGAGCTTTACCTATTCATCCCTCTTTCCCTGCCAACCCCTAGAACCATTGATCTTTTTACTGTCTCCATAGTTTGTTCTTTCCAGAATGTCATATAGTTGGAATCATACAGTGTATGTTGCCTTTTCAGATTGGCTTCTTTTACTTGGTAATATACATTTAAGGTTCCTTCAGGTCTTTTCATGGCTTGATAATTCATTTCTTTGTAATGATAAATAATATACCATTGTCTGAATGTATCACAATGTATCTACTCATCTAATAAAAGACGTCTTGGTTGCTTCCAAGTTTTGGTAATTATGACTAGAGCTTCTATAAGCATCTTTGTGCAGGTTTTTGTGTGGACATAAGTTTTCAATTCACTTGGGTAAATACTAAGGAGTGTTACTGATGGATCATATGATAAGAATGTGTTTTGGTTTGTAAGAAATTGTCAAAGTGTCTTCCAAAGTGACTGTACCATTTTGCATTTCCATCAGCAATGAATCAAAGGTGCTGTTGTTCCACATCCTTGCCAGTGTTTGACGTTGTTGGTGTTCTGGATTTTGGCGACTCTGATAGGTGTGTAGTGGTATCTTATTGTTTTGATTTGCATTTCCCTAATGATATATTATGTAGAGCACCTTTTCATATGCTTATTTTCCATCTGCATATCATTTTTAGTGAAGTGTTTGTCAGGTCTTTTGTCCATTTTTGACAGTGTTATTTGACTGAGACTTTAGAGTTCTTTGTATATTTTGAATAATAGTCCATTATCAGTTATGTCTTTTGCAATTATTTTCTCCCAGTCTATGGTTTGTCTCCTCATTTTCTTGACAGTGTCTTTTGCACTGTCAAGAAATAACTTTTGCAGAGCAGAAGTTATTTCATTTTAATGAAGTCCAGCTTATCAATTATTTGTTTCGTGGATCATGCTGTGGTGTGATATCTAAAAAATCATTGCCATGGTCAAAGTTGTCTAGGTTTTCTCCTGTTTTATCTTTCAGGAGTTTTATACCTTTGTTTTTTACATTTTAATCTGTGATCCATTTTGAGTTAATTTTTCTGAAAGGTAAAAGGTCCGTGCCTAGTTTCATTGTTTTGTTTGTGGATGTCCAGTTGTTCCAGCACCATTTGTTGAAAAGGCTGTCTTCACTTTATTGTATTGCATTTCCTCCTTTGTTAAGGATCAGTTGACTCCATTTATGTGGGTATATTTCTGGGTGGCTTCTCTGTTCCATTGATCTGTTTGTCTATTCTTTCACCAATACCACACTGATTCAATTACAGTGGCTTTATAGTAGGTCTTGAAGTCAGGTAGTATCAAGTTTTCTGACTCAGTTTTTCTCCTTCAATATTGTGTTGACTATTCTGGGTCTTTTGCCTCTCTAAATAAACTTTAGAAGGAGTTTGTCAATATCCACAAAATAGCATATGGGATTTTGACTGGGATTGAATTGAATATATAGATCAAGTTGGGAAGAACTTACATCTTGACAATAGTAAGTCTTTCTATTCATGAATAACTCTCCCTTTATTTAGTTCTTTAATTTTATTCATCAGAGTTTTGTAGGTTTATTAATATAGCTATTGCACATATTTTGTGAGACTTATACCTAAGTATTTACTTTTGGG